ATCCGAAACCGAAATTATTTTGAGTTCAACTGGATCTTGGACATGTTACTAAACCCGAACCGAACCCGACTAAACCCGAACCGAATCCGACCCGAATTTTTATAATATCCGAATGGGGTTGAAATTCATGAACCCGAAAACCCGAAACCCGAATGAACCCGAACCGAAACCCGATTGGGACCCCGATTGCCCAGCCCTAATATTTTCTGTAAATTCATTTATTACAAGTAGTGCTAAAAAATTTCCATGTTCCACAACGCGGTTTAATACTAAAACGAATATATGATAATACAACTTTCACAAAAAGAAATGATAATACAAACTGTCGTATAAAAATATTATTCAACGCATAAGTCTATAACATTTAGAAAGATGTATTGTAATCTTATATATTAAAACAGAAGTCATGACTTGAATTCATGTGCGATTTTTTTAAAAATGGACTATTACTAGAAAGTTCTGTTACATTAACTCTATAATAATCTTATAATTATTTTACCTTATGAAAAATCATATCTATAATAACAAAGATACGCTTAACAATTTGGTTTTGGTAAATTACCTCCCACCATCCAACTTAGTCACACAAAATATGTCAATAGGTATAAATTTAGGAATCTTCTATTATTTATAAGGAAATATGTCAGTAATAGTTAAATGCATCCACAATATATTAACAAAAATCACATATTAGTAATATGGAATATTTATATACCCTAACAAAATTTACACGCTATATATATGAGAAAATTTTATTTCGATGTAAATTTATAAAATTATATTGTTTTTAAAAAAAAAAAGAAATTGTTTAAAAAGTTCTTTTTTAATAAAATTCTTTATAATATTAATTTATGAAGTTATAAGTTTAGTTTTTAGCAAAAAAAATTTCGAAGTTTATATTATCTTTGCAAATTACAGTATACTAATATTTAATCAAATTCTATTTATATTAATTTATCTAAAAATAAAATACTAATCTAACAAATAATAAAATATAGAAGAAGAAACAAACACATGTTTGAAAAACATATATAATATAGAAAATTTGAAACAATCTATTTGATTAAAACACTTATTATATAATATTATTATGTTTGAAAAATATTTACTATAAATATCGTAAATATGTGATTACTAAAATATATACCAATTTACAAGTGAAAACAAAATTGTTTATATAACTAACTATAAACGAAACAAACACCCGCGCAACCTAACTAACTATAAACGAAAACAAACACCCGCGCTAGTTTAATAATTAAAAAAATTATAACAGTCTTTTTTTTTTAAAACCATGTCTGAACTATATATAATTTGTAACGTGTCGGTATATATTTATCTACGTCTGCATATTATTGTACGAATTAAGGGTAATGGCCACAAAACCAAGAACGGTGATCTGCATCGGAGACATCCATGGACACATTTCGAAGCTCAATAAACTCTGGCTCAATCTACAATCCGTCCTCACCCCATCAGAGTTCACCACAGCTCTTGTCATCTTCCTAGGCGACTACTGCGACCGTGGACCTGAGACTCGCAAGGTCATTGACTTTTTAATCTCCCTCCCGGAGAAACATCCCGAGCAAAGACACGTCTTTCTTGCCGGGAACCATGACTTCGCCTTCGCGGGGTTTATGGGTTTGTTGCCACGTCCTTTAGATGGGTCCAAGCTGAAGGACACGTGGAATGAGTTCGAGGCAAACGAAGAGAGAGAAGGGTGGTATAAAGGGCCAGGCTTTGAGGATATGCATGTCCAAGGTAGGAGATGGGGTGGTAAAATTAGAGATCGGTTCGCTACCGTTGGGGTTGAGTATATTGGTTCTATTTATGATGCTGGGACGACTTTTGAATCGTATGGTGTTCCTCATGGATCTTCTGGTACATAATTGAATCTTTCTTGGTTTGTAGTATCAAAGTTGTTATTTATATTTTTCTGCTGAGGACTTATGTTGAAATTGTTTTGGGATATGATAAGATTTGATGGAGGCTGTACCAGAGAGTCACAAGAAGTTTTTGACCAATATGGTTTGGGTTCATGAAGAGGTAAATAATGCCTAAGTTTTTTTTGTAGTTTTAATATTTAGTAATTTTTTGGTCTGGACATTCGTATCTTCGGATCAGATTCAGGTTGGGCCATGTTGGGTCCAAATCTTTAAGTTCTTAGATATTTAGATCTAATAAGATAATTATAATTTGTTGGTTCAGATCGGATCATGTCAGGTCTGGATTGATTCGAATCTTAGATAATTAGATCCAATAGAGTAATTAAAATTTGTAGGTTTGAGTTCGGTTCAGTTTTAGTTCGAGACCCGCGGGTCCTCCACAACACGATCCAATAGGGTAAAATAATTGGTTTGGTTTCTATCCAAACCAGATTTTTTCGAATCAGTTTCGGGTCCTGGTAAAATTCCCAAGCTTAGTAATTTTGAAGGAGTAAATCGTTGCCATGACCATGTTGTTGATTCTCTTGCAGGAAGATGTTTTTGTTGAAACCGAAGATGGGCTTAAGCAATGTAAGTTGATTGCAGTACATGCTGGTTTAGATAAATGGAAGAGCGTTAACCACCAACTAAAGCTTCTGAGAGATAAAGACACAAGCATCTCCAAGATACAACCTCTAAGTGGACGGAAAGACGTTTGGAACATGCCACAGGTAATTTTTGTGTCTTAATCTTGTTGAGCTTTTAAATCGTTTTAATTTTTTTTTTTTAACATTCTTTTCAGGAGCTGGATGATAAACACACTGTTGTAGTGAGCGGTCACCACGGGAAGCTTCACGTCGATGGCTTGAGACTGATCATCGATGAAAGCGGTGGATACGATTATAACCCTCTGGCTGCAATCATCCTTCCTTCTAAAAAGATCATCCGCGACACTGATATCTTTTCCAACTGATTTTTTCATGTCTTTTTACTTTGTAAGAACACGACCAGCTGCCACAACTTCAATTGCTGTGTTTAATTCTTGTTCTGCTTTATCTTTAAGAAACATTCTTTCATCTAATAACTAAAAAAAGCCTTCATAGATAATAGTGGTAGAGAGGCATTACAAGAAATTTGTATAACGATACATCATACATACACTCTACTTTAATACTTTCTCCTTTCGTATTATATCATGTTTTAGGAGATTTACAATATTTTAAAATAAAAAAATGTTTTAATTTTTTTAATACTCCCTCTGGTTTATAATAAGTGTCATCCTAACCATTTTTCTTTGTTACACAAAAAGTGTCATTTTACAATTTCAATACAAATACTTATTTTCAACTAAAAATTAATTACAAACTGCATTGATTTTATAAATAATTCTATTTATTTAAAATACTATTGCTTAAAAATATATAATTAGTAACAACTTACATATATTTCAATCACTTTATTAATCTGTGTGAAAATGTCAAATTGACACTTATTCAGAAACAGAAGGAATATTAACTATAATTTTAGTGAAAATTGTTAAACTAACTATATTTTACCGTTTTGATAATTGACTGAATAATTTTTGATACGTCTTTTAATAATACACTAGATTTTGACCCGCGCAACCGCGCTGGTGTTTGTTTTTGTTTATAGTTATATAAACATTTTGTTTTCACTTGTAAATTGGTATATATTATAGTAATCACATATTTAGGATATGTATAGTAAATTTTTTTCAAGCATAATAATATTATATAATAAATGTTTTAATCAAATAGATTGTTTCAAATTTTCTATATTATACATGACTTTCAAACATGTGTTTGTTTCTTCTCCTATATTTTATTGTTTGTTAGATTAGTATTTCATTTTTAGATAAAGTAATATAAATAGAGCTTGATTAAATATTAGTGTAATNTGTATAGTAAATTTTTTTCAAGCATAATAATATTATATAATAAATGTTTTAATCAAATAGATTGTTTCAAATTTTCTATATTATACATGACTTTCAAACATGTGTTTGTTTCTTCTCCTATATTTTATTGTTTGTTAGATTAGTATTTCATTTTTAGATAAAGTAATATAAATAGAGCTTGATTAAATATTAGTGTAATTTAATTTGCAAATATAATATAAACTTCGAAGAAATTTTTGCTAAAAACTAAACTTATAGCTTCATAAATTAATATTATAAAAAGGTTATTAAAAAGGAATTTTTTAAACAATTTCTTTTTTTTTAAACAATACAATTTTAAAAAATTTCATCGAAATAAATTTATCTAATATATATAACGTGTAAATTTTGTTAAGGTATATAAATATTACATATTAATAATCTGTGATTTTTGTTAATATATTCTGGATGCATTTAACTATTATTGACATATTTCCTTATAAATAATAGAAGATTCCTAAATTTATATCTATTGACATATTTTGTGTGACTAAGTTGGAAGGTGTGGGGTAATTTACCAAAACAAAATTGTTAAGCATATTATAAGATATAATAATGATAAGATTATTAGAGAGTTAATGTAACATAACTTTCTAGTAATAGTCCATTTTTAAAAAATCACACATGAAATCAAGTCATGACTTCTGTTTTAATATATAAGATTTAATAGAAAATAAGTTTTTATTCTTTGTGTAACAGTTTTCAGCATGAGATAAGCATATGTTTAGCGTTGAGATTTGAAAATAATATAAAAGAGTTCTATTTTTTTGGTAAACGTTTTCGATTTAGATTCATTCATGTAGCCACGACTGCTAGCTAGCAAACAAGCACACATTATCATTATAACAAAACAGAGAAGAGCCAATGGCGCAAAAACCACGAACAGTAATATGCATCGGAGACATCCACGGATACATCTCAAAGCTCACCAACCTCTGGCTCAACCTCCAAACCTCCCTCGACCCATCACAGTTCACCTCAGCCCTCGTCATCTTCCTCGGCGACTACTGCGACCGTGGCCCAGAAACCCGTAAAGTCATCGACTTTCTAACCTCTCTCCCCGAGAACCACCCCGACCAAACCCACGTCTTCCTCGCCGGGAACCACGACTTCGCCTTCTCCGCGTTTCTGGGTCTGTTGCCACGTCCCCGGGACGGATCTGAGATGAAGGAGACGTGGAGAGAGTACGAGGGGAGCGAGGAGAGAGAAGGGTGGTATAAAGGTGAAGGCTTTGAGGAGATGCATCTTCAGGGGAGGAGGTGGGGTGGTGAGATTAAGGTTAAGTTTAATTCTGTGAAAGGGATGGAGTATAAAGGTTCGATTTATGATGCTGGGAGTACTTTTGAATCTTATGGTGTTCCTCATGGTTCTTCTGGTATAAGATTCTCTATCTATGTGTTGTAGGTTCTTCTCTATGGTTGGATTTTAATTATTTTTTTTTTTACTTGGTAGATTTGATGAAGGCAGTACCAGAGAGTCATAAGAAGTTTTTGACCAATATGGTATGGGTCCATGAAGAGGTATAAGGGATCTTTATACCACCACTTTATTCTGTGGGTTGTTTGTATGAACAGTAGTTTTAGTGGTTTATAAAGCTATAAAAAGTAAAACTTTTGGACTTATTGATCATATCTTTTTGTAACTCACTGGAAAGTTGTGTTTTATTTTGTTGATTCTATTTGCAGGATGATGTTTGTGTAGAGACAGAGGAAGGAATAAAGCATTGTAAGTTGATTGCTGTACATGCTGGTTTGGAGAAAGGGGATAGCGTTGAAGAGCAACTAAAGCGATTGAGAGTTAAAGACACGAGCATTTCGAAAGTACCGTATCTAAGTGGTCGGAAAAACGTTTGGGACATGCCACAGGTAATAAAATTGAAAAGAAACCAAACTTTTGGTGTTAAGATATTTGCTCTAGTTTTGTAATCTGTTTGTATGCTTGAATGTTTGTCTGAAATGTTTTTTTTTTTTTGCAGGAGCTGGATGATAAAAAGACTGTTGTAGTAAGTGGGCACCATGGGAAACTTCACATGGATGGCCTGAGATTGATCATCGATGAAGGCGGTGGATACCCGGAAAAGCCTGTGGCTGCGATTGTTCTTCCTTCTATGAAGATCATCCGAGACACTGATAATGTTTCCAGCTGAGTTTCTTTTGTTCAATCCATTGTATCAAAGTACATTTTCATTCAGAGAAAGAATCTATTTTATAATGATACACTTTCAAGACTTCTAAAGCTGTCCACGTCAGCAAGTTTGTGGGTCCCGCACATTTAAATTTTAAAATAGAATTTGTTTAAAATGAATATGAACAATAAATATACTTTAGTCCAGTGGTATAAGACATCTAATAAAGTCCACAAGTGTGTGGGTTCAAACCGCGTAGCTGTTATGTATTTTAGTTTTTTTTTGTCTGAATTATTATCATATGGTTTTTTAGTTTTAATGTTTTAATGTTTTTTTCCCTCTGGACTTATTGTTTAAAACGAAAAATAGTGAGAAAAATCCCAAAGTTTGACGAATTCAAACCCAAAAACAATTAAAAAGGATCAAAAAACGAACAGTCCAAAAAACAAAAAACAAAATGAGTCCCACGTGGCACTATCATGTCCTAATATATATTTTTTGTTAGAACATATTTTCTAATATATATTTTCAAAAATTATGTATGTGAAATAAAATAAAACAAAAAAATTTAAGTATTTTTTATTTATAAAATAACTATGTAATTTCTCTCAATTTTTAATAGTTACTATAATTTGATTTTTATCAGACTCCGGCGAATTGATTTCCACACTCGATGACGCCGTAAATAAAAATGCCACATTATTCATGAACAAAATCCAAACTTACAAAAACACATATCCAAACCTATCTACTGAATCCAAACAACAAATATTAGCTTAAACTAAAGTTATTTTCAAATTGATAAATCGTTTAGTACAAATATAAATAAATAATTATATCAAGTTTTGACCTCAGATATAAAAACTGTTTCCAACATAAAAACATAAAAAACAATATAGACACTTATTATTATACACTAGAAACTATATTATAATTTAGTTATTCCTATAAATCTTACTTCGCATATAAATAACATTTAACACATTATATATACAATATTTTCACTTTACACTCTTGCTACATTATTTCCATTTCGTCCCTAAAAATAAAACGAGTCTCACGCGGCACTATCATGTCCTAATATATACTATTGTTAGAACATATTTTCTAATATATATTTTCAAAAAATTATGTATTTGAAATAAAATAAAACAACAAAATTAAGTATTTTTTGTTATCTGTAAAATAACTATGTAATTTCTCTTCAATTTTTAGTAGTTACTATAATTTCATTTTTATCAGACTCCGGCGAATGGATTTCCACAGTCGATGACGCCGTAAATAAAAATGTCATATTATTCATAAACAAAATCCAAACTTACAAAAAAAAAATATCCAAACATATCTATTGAAACCCAAGCAACAAATATTCGCTTAAATTAAAGTTATTTTCAAATTGATAAATCGTTTAGTATAAATATAATTACTATAAATAAATAATTATATCAAGTTTTGACCTCTGATATAAAAACTATTTCCAATATAAAAAAATAAAAAACAAGATAGACACCTATTATTATACACTAGAAACTATATTATAATTTCGTTATTCCTATAAACCTTACTTCACATATAAATAACATTTAACACATTATATATATAATATTTTCACTTTATAATCTTGCTACATTCTTCCCATTTCATCATTATTTGGTATTATTAGAATAACCCACTAAACCAACAACCGAAAAAAACACAGATAAACATCAATGATCCTCAGCCCCGCGCTTGCGCGGGGAGTATGGAACTAGTGAATTAGAAGGCTACCGTTCCATTTTAACAAACGTTTTGCAAAGAAAAATTGTCCTCAGTAGTGTGTGGTGACAGACTCGCAGGCAATGGAGAAAACAACATAATGGGCTTGTGAATAGCCCACTTCTTCAAACTTATTTCAACCTTAGGCCTCGCAATTCAGTAAAGCCCAAATGAAGAAGGGTGGGTGATGATGACATGCCGTTGTGCTCTTGAACACATGTAACTTTTGGAACATTTGCTACAGAAAATATAGTACTAATTTAGTTTCAATTTTATAAAAACTGTGTGAGTCA